CACCTTAGCCTTGGTGATCTCAACCAGTTCTATACCCTCGAGCTTGGTCTCGCCAACCTCGTCCCAACACAGTAGTGTCCTGCATTTCCTCCCATACAATGCCTCGTATGGAGGCATGCCAATAATCGCCTGATAACTGTTGTTATAGGCAAACTCCACAAGAGCCACGTGTTTGTCTCAACTCCCTTGGAACTCCAAAGCACATGCCCTAAGCATGTCTTCCAAAATTTGTATCACCCGCTCGGATTGTCCATCCGTCTGTGGGTGAAATGCGGTGCTAAACTTCAGTTTAGTCCCAAGGATGCCTGAAACTTAGACCAAAATCTAGACGTGAATCGTGGGTCTTTATCCGACACAATGGATATCGGGACCCATGCAGTCTCACGATTTCCTCAGTGTATAACTTGGCCAATCTTTCAAGAGGATAAGTGATGTTAATAGGCAAGAAATATGCACTCTTAGTCAGCCTGTCAACTACCACCCATACCGCATCGTAATTGTTCACAGCTCATGGCAATCCTACCACAAAGTCAATGGTCACGTGTTGCCACTTCCATTCTGGAATAGTAAGTGGCTGCAAAAGCCCCGTCGGGTGCTGGTGCTCCGCCTTAACTTGCTGACAAGTAAGGCATCGACTCACATACTCTGCGATATCCCTCTTCATACCGGACCACCAATAACTTTCTTTCAAGTCTCGGTACATTTTTGTACCTCTAGGATACATAGCATAGGCTGAAGAATGAGCCTCCTCAAGTATGGATTTCCAGAGCTCCTCATCCTTTGGTACACATACACGATCTTTGAACAATAAAAGACCATCATCATGTACCCGGAAATTCTCAACGGGCCCCGCAAGGATCCGTTCGCGGAACTACTGACATTCTTCATCAATGCCCTGACCTCTACTGATCTCTACCAGCAATGTAGGTCTAACCTAAAATCTAGCTATGAGCGCACTGCTCGAGGACGCCTCCACGTGTGCCCACAATGCTCGTAGGCATGTGAGTAACGTCCCCGACGTACTCTTCCTGCTCAGTGCATCGGCCACTACATTGGCCTTTCCGGGGTGATAGTCTATGATCAAGTCATAGTCCTTGATCAACTCCATCCATCTCCTTTGTCTCATATTCAACTCTTTCTGAGTAAATACATACTTGAAGCTCTTATGATCGGTGTAGATGTGACATGTCTCCCCGTAGAGATAATGCATCTAAATTTTTAGTGCAAACACTACCGCTCCCAACTCTAGATCATGGGTAGGGTAGTTCACCTCGTGTCTCCTCAATTACCTAGAAGCATAGGTAATCACCCTTCCCTTTTACATTAGTACACATCCAAGCCATTGGATGCTAGCATCACTATAAATGTGATACCCTATACCTTGTATGGGTAGAGCAAGAACTGACACCTAGGTAAGTCATTTCTTTAGCTCAAGGAACCCCTCCTCACACTTGTCATCCCATATGAACTTAGCCCCTTTCTTTGTGAGCTTCGTTAGCGGAGACGCCAATACGGAGAATTTTTCGTCGAACTTACGATAGTAACCTGCAAGGCCAAGGAAACTACATATCTCCTTCACACTCTTGGGTCTCTCCTAATCAATGATGGCTGTTATCTTGGCGTTGTCCACCGCAACGCCCAAACCGGATATGATATCACCGAGGAAAACAATCTTCTTGAGCCAAATTTCACACTTAGAGAACTTGGCAAAGAGTTGTTTTTCCCTTAGTCGCTCAAGTACAAGCCTTAAGTGATGCTCATGTTCTTCGTTCTTCGAGTATATCAAGATATCATCAATGAATACAATCACAAACTGATCTAAGTACTCACTAAACACACGGCTCATCAAGTCCATGAATGTCACCGGTGCGTTGGTTAAACCAAATGACATCACTAGAAACTCGTAGTGACCGTATCTAGTGCGAAATGCACTCTTAGGTATATCACTTTCCTTGATCTTTAATTGATGATAGCCCGACCTCAAATCGATCTTTGAGAACACCATTGCTCCCCGAAGTTGGTCAAACAAATCATCAATCCTCGGTAGAGGATATCTATTCTTAGCTTGATTGTGACCTTGTTCAGTTGTCGGTAGTCAATACACATTCTCAGTGTACCGTCTTTCTTCTTCACGAAGAGTACCGGTGCCCCCCACGGTGAATGGCTAGGTCTAATGAATCCGTTGTCCAATAGCTCTTGTAACTGGACCTTCAACTCTTGAAGTTCCCCCGGTGCCATTCGATAAGGAGGAATCGAAATGGGTTTGGTTCCCGGCTCTACTTCGATCACGAATTTGATTTCCCTATCAGGATGAAGCCCCGTTAAGTCTTTGGGGAAGACATCCGTATACTTACACACGATACGTACATCGTTGATGTAAACTTCCTTCTTTGTCTCGTCAACTACGTAAGCAAGGTATGCGTGACATCCTTTCTTCATCATCTTTCGTGCCCTCACGGCAGATATGATACAACTGGTTGCCTTGCCTCTGTCTCCCTCAAAGCGTAGGATAAATCCTTCACCGCTTTCAAGTTCGAGGACCTTTGTGTAGCAATCGACCCTGGCATGATGCTCCTCAAGCCAACCCATCCCGATGATTGCGTCGAATTCGATCATACCCAGGGGTACAAAATCACACGTCAAGGTTTGACCCTCTACTTCCACTTCACACGAGGGATAGTGGCTCTCTCTTTCGATGTCATCCCCCAAAGGTGTGGAAACCAATAGAGTTTGAGTCATCGGTACTAGCGGTTCGTTAAACCCTTTGGCGAATGACTCACTCACAAATGATCGTTGCGCCCCCGTATCAATGAGGATTCTTGCATCTCTCCCGTTAATCTTTAGTGTTCCTACATTTATCAATCACGTACGATGCCTTTCCTACCATAACTATACATTTATGGAGGTTTATTATGTTCATACACATGTTTGGGATCAAGGAGGGGTCTTAACGTCGCAAAACGCCATGAAAACCCCCATGTTGGGCAGTCTGGGGGCCACACACGGCATGCGTAGGAGGCACGCACGCGTGCGTGGCTCCGATTTTTCACCTGGGGCTACTGCCCACCACGCACGGAGGGATGCACGGAGGGATGCACGGGGGACGCACGGAGGGACGCACGAGTGCGTCACCGCACGCACGGTCGTGCGTCCGACAATTTTTTTCCTGGAGGCCGTCCGCCACCCATGCACGGTAGCACGCACACGTGCGTGTAGGCGTGCGTGGTGTGCAGTGGCCATTTGAAACCCGTTTTGGCCAAAATTTTCCCGGTTCATCCCCGGGTGGACCGTACCTGGGCCCTACGACCCATATCATCAATATAAGCCTAGAAACAGTCGAAAAATAAGTGTATTACCTGCGACGGAGTCCGGGTTTGCTCGCGCATCTGCCTCGATCATCGCGTACACCCTCGCTTGGGCCCCGCCTTGATTTACGGACGCGGCATGGCTTGTGGATGCGCCGCCTCTTCCCGTGCCACCGTTTGACGGTCCATCACGGTTTCTACCCATCAAAGCACCTCCTCCGGACCCCGGAGCTCCTCCTCCCCCCAATTATGGGCAATTGGCCTTCATGTGGCCCGTGTTCCCACATTGATAACACCTCGGTGGTGCGTTGCACTTCCCGAAGTGATTCTTCGAACAGTTGGCACACTTAGGAGGCCCCGTATTTTGAGAGGAGGATGAGTGCCACCGAGCATCCTTGTTCTTCTTTACCGGTGGTGTCGGTGCCTTGAACGAACCACTGCCTCCACCGTGGTTATTCTTTCGTGGTGTTGTGTGATAAATTACCAATACCGGTAATTGGGCCTCGTTTGACCGACGGGTCAACCCTATACCCTTTCTATGGCCCAACTAAAATATCTACCACCATATACATATTATCTAGGCCAAGATGAATATAATATGTGGTCCCGGAATTATCGGGGGGTCCCCACTCCCGGTGTGGGCCCCACGTGCAATTCACTATTCACGCAAAGGTAATAACAAAAATTTTCAACTTCATTAATTCATAAGTCATTATTCAAGGTTTATTACATGATTTACTAAAAAGTAAATATACTCGAGGGCAGTGTTACAGTAACAATCAACTGATGGGTATGAGAACATGTAAACATAATGAAGTCCCTTGCAAATGAGTTTGAAGTAACAATCAACTGGTGCTTAATACATTATAAAAGTCACATTAAGATCACAACATACAACCCAAACTATTACATATATGCGTACATGGATACAAAAACAGCAATTGTTACAAAACACACAACCTGAATGAATTTAGAGTTTTTTTCTTCATTTTGTATTTCTTCTTTTCATTTGCTTGTAACTCTTCCACCTTCAAGCTAAGTGCAATATCTACATTTGGTCTTCATAGCCATTCAATTTTTTCAGCAACTGAGGTTTAATTTTCTGTGACCTCTTGCACATTGAGGGACAACCCAGTCCACGAAGCCACACCCCTGACATCTCTGCGAATTTAGGTTTCTGGTTAACAAGTTGCTCAAATAACAAAAAACAAGCATTGTGAAAAGAAATTCACCTCACTTCCCACGCATTTCCAAAACCTTCTCCCACAGTTATCATGTTTCCATGTGGTCAAAAGCTTCATTTCAAGCCCACAGTGAAAGTGCTTAACTGAAATCCATTCTCCATATTCATATTGACTTGTTGATTTTGAAGAAGAAGAATAACTGGTAGACATTTTGGGTTGTTTGTGCTTCACTGGTGAGAAGAACGACATGGTAGAACGAAGGAGTTGATGGCTGAGGTCCTCCGATTTAGGGTTCAAAGGAGAGGTAGAAGATGATGGTAGAATAACTATGTACGAAGGACTTAAGGACATGCGGTGTGCAACGGAAGGATGAAGAATGGTAACAGGAGAAAACGATGTGATAAGATGTGGCGAAATCGAAAGTATGATACAAAATATGGAAGTGACGAGATAAAAAGTGGAATTTTTTCTATGTCTATTAATGGCACACACCTATCTCAAATGAGAAACTGCGCAAAAACTCCCTTGGCCAGGCACCGAATCAAGGCAGAGACCCGGGATCCCAGTTCGCGATGTATCTTACAACCTACTCAAAACATGAAACCCCCAAGTCACCCCTCTGCTATCACCATTCCCGCATGACCTAGTCAGTGGCGAGCCATCAGTTGAAATTGAAAGTACCCGTCGTGAACCTCTGTCAACCAATTCATGACAAAATGAAACACCAACATAGACCTACAACATATAGCAAGTGAGAATCGCTAAATCGGTAAGTTGTTGTGGTGTATTGCTTCTCAAATATTTTTTATTTTTTTTCTTTTGCAAGTTTTTTTTTTTTAAATTATAGTCTATAGATGTTTCTGATATGTTTATTCGCTTGCACAGAATGATTTCGATTTTTGGTTATATTTGAAGAAGCTTAATTCTTTGTTAGGTCGAACGTATTCAATAGTTCGAGCTCGGATGGTCAAGTTAAGATTCATGTATGGAGTATTATTTTATGGCCACTGAAATATATTTTTATCATGATATCTTATTCGTTCATAGAATGATTTAACCATTTTTGCACAATAAATGGACTCGTATGCTACAAAGGCACGGTTCTGTTCTTCTGACAGCGTCGGGTATACTGACATAATTATCTGGAGTATTTAGAACGCTCAGATCTGTATGTTCCTATTTTTTCCCATTTTTTTGTTCAATATATGCATTCTCAGTTCAAAATTACTATTTTATGTTTAATTCTGAAATAATTTCCGGTTAGCAAATACTACGCATGATTATTTTTTAAGAGCCAAATACAGCTGAATATTCAGGTCTCTAGTAGATACAAAGTTAAATTAAATGAATCATGTGTAGGTAATCTTAACTCAAGTCATTTTTAATCATCATAACTAAACTTATTTTATTTGTCACATACCATTTCAGCATTTTGTTTTGGTCTTGTGATGAAGTAATCTAGTTTGCTGAGAATATAAAGAGAATTGAAATATTGAATGTATGCTTTCAACTATACGTAATACAAAGTTAATGCTTTTGTTACATTTCCATCAAGAAATATACACTGAATTAATGTTGATCGTTGTAAACATTAATAACAACTTAAAACTTCATTGCCAAAGCTTTTTAAACATTATATATATACGTTTTGGTTATATACTTGTGTATACACACACACACACATATGTATGCTTTTGTGCCTGTGTGCTATGTATATATGTATCTTTTTAGGTACTTTATCTATATATGTAACTTGTTGATATATGTGTCTGTGCATAAGTGTGCATGTAATAATTTATTTTAGTCATTCTTTTAAGAATTGATATTATATTCTCTTCCTGTTTTTTTTTTCTTTTCTGGGAGTTTTAATTGCGGGATTTCCCTTTGTTGGAAGTCTTTGTTGAGCTGCATATTTAATTTAGGAAAGTAGATTTAGATTGTCATTATTGAGCAATTGCCTCTTAGTTCTTTCTACTGGAATAAGAATTGGTGCCAAGAAACTTCAGGAAATTTTAGCTTTTTCTTCCTTTGCTTGTGCTTGTTAAAGTTGTGTTTTCATTGTGCTTCTCTAAGTCTTTGGCCAACTCAAATGAATATCAGATGTACCCGTGAGCTGCTGAAATAAAACCCCTTGAGAAAATATAGCTTAGAAAAAACCTTGAGGTTAGATTTTGGGTGATCTGCAATTTTCATGTTGGGGAATTACCTTTAGAGACCCATGGTTGGGAGCTGCCTCATTGTAGTTCTTTCTTGGGAATAATAATAGGCGCGAAAAAGATGCAGATAATTTTGGCTTTGTCTCCCCTGCGTTGCTTCTTGAAGCTGTATTCTCATTTGCTCCCTCTTTCCATTAGTATATGTAGTGTGATTTCCATTGCTCATTAGCAAAAGAAATGCTATATGTATGTATATATATCTTTTTTTGTTGATATTTTAGCTTTTTGCATCCTCAGCCTTGAAAGAGTAAAGGAAGAGGTAGAGTTATTATGTGGTGTTCGTTGCAAGAGAGTTTGCTAGTATTTATAGGAAATGAAAAATATTTCTATAAAAAAATACACGTCCCAAGAAACAGACTATCAATCTTGATGGGTTGAGTTTTTTTACGGAGATTTGAATTTATAGAAATTTTGTGCTCATGCCCCAAGTAAAAGGTTGATGAAATTTCACTGGGGCTGTTTTCTTTGTGAAAACAGCCTAGCACCCTAAATACTACTCGTATTTATAGGTACTTTGTGCATGTGCAACTGTGTACATATATATACATGTGTCTATTTTTAAACACTTCATATATACAAAGTATGTAGTTATTGTATATATGTGTGTGTATAATCTTTTATTTTCAAATTTACTACGTAGTTTAGGGGATAACTACACTTTCACTTATCTTTTTATTCGTGAATGGTATCTTTTTTATTTTCAGATTTATTGACTTCATACTATCATATATTAATACCATGTATATTACTATTAATGGTTTTTTCTTTTTAGGTAGGAATAGAGGCTACCTCTCTTTTGCACAGCAATCCAGGTCAGCCCCTTTTTTGCACAATAATCTAGGAGGCAAGAGACTGCTTTTATATCCCCCATAACATCACTTATCAGTTCGTAGCAGCACTGCTGGTAGGCTATAGTTTTGTTCCGGATTCCGATTATCCCTGGAACTATATAACATGATCAAGAGCGTTGGAGTTCCGTCGAATTCAGCAATTTGGGTCACAACTCCCCACGGCGCGATCCATTTCTTCCATGTATCTATATTTTGCTGTCTCATTCCTCACAAAAACAAATCCTACGACACTGTTGCCTTCTCTAACATCCGCCGCGCTTCCGTTGTGTCTGAACCCCGCCACAATTCCAGCCTAATTAAATCTGAGGTAATTTAATCAATTATGAACTACACAAACTCATCTGACCTGACACGACTTTCCAGCTTTTCATCATACCTGTTTTTCTTAAAGCATTTATTTAGACAACAAAACAGGGGAACCTAATGATTTGATAAGCACACAACTCTATAGATTGGACGGAGTATAAGAGAACAATAATCCTACCCATCATAATAGAATTGATTTTATGAGCCCTTGTATTGAATTTGACATTGGGATAAAGACATTTATGATAAATGTATTCTTGTTTATTTATTTATTTACTTAATGTTTAAAATTATTTAAAAAGCTCATTTAAACTCACAACTCTCTGGATAAAATAAAGAGAATTATTCATCTCGACTTGGCATCAGAGCTACTCTCATTAAATTAAATTTGAACATCTATAGGACCTTTTTCTGTGGCAAATAGTGTGCTGCAGCTATTGGACTCAAAGAAGACAACAAGTTTGTTTCTCCTACGTGGGTGGGTACTAGCAAACTATTGTTTTGCTTTCAAAGTCTTTGGTTCTTGCATTGACTCTTAATAGCTACTGCAAGTAGGCTATGACAATAGAGATCTTATTAGCATAGAAGTATGCATTTGGTTTACACGAATAATCACTATAGCCTGTTTATAGGAAGAAGAGAGCATATTGAAACAATGAAACTAAGAGATGTGTATCAAACTAGGGACATGGATTTCACACTGTATGACTAAAAAGGAACTGAGCTGTATGGCTTATCTAACACCTTGTAGTAAAAATCTCTTATAATTTCATCTCATCAATTGCATTAAGAAGTAGAGGAAAGAAATGCAAGACTGGAGCCTTCAATTCCACGCTTTCTCTCTGTGTTTCATATTTTCCACTTTTGGGGCACGATTATGGGTCTTTTGTCCTTCAGTCATTCTGGCCACTTATCTGTTCATTTTTCGTACAATTGTATGTTAATTTTGCCGGATCATAAGGGACAAGAGAGAAGGAAAATGAGCCAGAAATAAATAATTGTGTACTAAAATTGTAAGAAAAACAAAATCATGGTCCAGAACTTACTTTTTTTCTTATTTGTGTTGATGATAGGAACCGGGTGACGACGAATATGAGGGGAAAGTTGTTAGGAATGGTTCTTATTATACAGAAGACATTGCTTTAAAGATAGAAGACTTGAGTACAAGAGGATTACCTCTTCAAGCCGAACGACTTGCATTTGGTATGAGATCTGAAGGCTATATACCTGACGTTTCAACCCTATCTGCCTTGATGTTGTGCTATGCCATAAACGGTCTAGTAAGTAAATCGCTTGCAGTTTGGGATGAAATAGTAAACAGTTCTTTTGTGATGGATGTTCAAGTAGTTACAAAACTAATTGATGTCTACGGTCGTATGGGACATTTTGATATTGTTGTAAAAATTCTTCGTCAAATAAAAATAAAAGACCCTACCAAGCTTTCACATGTTTATCCATTGGTTATATCTTGTTTTGGAAAAAGAGGTCAACTTCAACAGATGGAAGTTATGCTAAAGGAGATGGTTTCCATGGGATACTCTGTAGATTCTGCTATGGGAAATGCTTATGTCATATACTATAGCCGGTTTGGCTCACTTTCCGAGATGGAATGTGCCTATGGACGCCTCAAGAGGACGAGAATTCTCATAGAGGAAGAAGCAATTAGGTCAATCTCTAGTGCTTACATCAAAGAGGAGAAATTTTACCAACTAGGGGAGTTCATCAGGGATGTGGGCCTTGGTAGGAGGAATGTAGGGAATCTTCTTTGGAATCTTTTGTTATTATCTTATGCTGCCTGCTTCAAAATGAAAAGCTTGCAGAGAGAATTTGTGAAAATGACAGAAAGTGGATTTCGTCCCGATCTTACTACGTTCAACATTAGGTTATCCGCTTTCTCAAAAATGTCCTTATTCTGGGATCTTCATGTGAGCATTGACCATATGAAGCACGAAAATGTGGTTCCCGATATTGTTACTTATGGATCCATCATCGATGCTTACTTGGAGAGAAGACTAGGAAGGAATTTGGATTTTTCTTTGGGCAAAATGAATGTGAATGATCATGTTTCTGTGCTAACAGATGCACTCATGTTTGAGGCTTTAGGGAAAGGGGATTTCCATTTGAGTTCAGAGGCCTTCATGGAGTACAGCAGGAAAAGGTGGACTTATAAACAACTTATAAGAACTTACCTGAGGAAAATATCCCGGCATGATCAAATATTTTGGAATTACTAACAATGAGAAAAGCACATTTTATCAAGTTTCTTCGGGAGAATCAGCCTCACATGTTTAGTGGTCAAAATTTTGGAAACAAACTGTTTCTGCTATCAAATGGAGTTTATCTTGTGCAATACAGTGTCATTCACCAGAGAAATTTTCCACAGTGCAAGTACTAGAAACGCTGTCAAGTGTCAACCCTGTGGATTTAAATAGCGGTCCGCTACCGCTATAGCGACCGCTATATAGCGGTTGTGGTAGGCTCTGATACTGCTACACCCCGCTATAGCGGTGTGAATTCCAATTGCACTGAAATCCGCTAGGAAACCGCTATAGAACCGCTACGCCGCTGCTACACGCTGCTCGGACGCAACAAGGCCGCCACTGACCCCAACGGTGTACTCCAGTCCCAAATGCGTGAATTAAACGTGCATGCAGTCAACCTGACTCCAACGATGTACTCCGGTCTCAAATGCATGAATTAAACGTGGATGCAGTCAACTATACTTAATTGGATGGAGAGTGATGTGTAAATGTTGTTTGGTTTGCTCTAAATCAACTTGCTAGCTACTTGGCTATTATTATGGAGTATGGGACCAAACTCTTTTAAAAATAAGTACATGCCGTCATATTCTTATTGGTTGGTTCGTTGTTCACATATAAGTGTTTAAGGAAGTATTCACAATGTTTCTATTAGTTTTAGGAGAACTTTTCGGTGCAGTTACATGGTAGATGGTTGTGGTGCATTATACATATGGCAGCATCACATTGGATAGATATTTTAAGTAAGCCATTCCAATAAAATGACTTCATAATTGCAAACTAATCCTCAGATCTGTAAAAATGAAATTAAAATGACATGCCTCTTTCACGTTTCCCTCTTTCCCACTTCTATCTCTTTGCATCAATCCAATCCTCTCCACCATCAACAGGTCGATCGCTGCATCCACTTTGTGAAGACATCGCCTAAGCTCTCTTTTCTTTCATGATTTTATGAGATGCCCTCAAATTCTTCCCTAATCGTTGTTCCAATAATTTGATTTATTTTTTACTAATTATTGAACTTGACAAAGAGATATCAAGCTCCTTAATCTTCCGGAAAAAGACGAATGTTTCTTTAAGCTTTAGCTCTGTTTTAGCTCATCAAGATTTGTGGACATGAATACCATAAAGAGCCTTTGAACTTCAATATTTGTTTGATTTTAGGCACATTTTAGCTTAAATGTAGCTTCTGTTTGATTTTAGGTGCTTAAATTTTAGAACCTCACTGTGTAACTATGTGTTTACTAAATTAAACTACAATTAGAATCACTAATTAGATATTCATAACATGTTTTTTCTTTCAAATTTGGACTTTTATTTTCATCTTTAGCATTTCATTTTTGCATATTTTTCTGCACTTCATAGATGCTTTATTCCTACAAGTATTCTTTTTTCTTCCATTTTATTCACATATTGTATCTGCATCCATGGTAGATAATTTCTTCATATTTGGGCTGCTTTTTTGCATTTTAGGCAGATCCTTAATTGAAATAGGTAGACTGAACATCATCATCATCATCATTTACCCCAATGCCACAAAGGCTCCCACCTACGGTGGGGTAAGGGGGGGTCGGATGTACGCAGTCTTACCCCTGTCCTAAAGCACAGAGAGATTGTTTCCGGATGACCCATTGTGAAAATCACGTTCAAAATTGCATGGACTGACGGCTGCTTCATAACAAAGAAGCACAGACAGTTTAGTGAGCCATTTTGCTTTATTCCATCATATTCTCAAGCCAAAAAATAGTGAATCTTTGGCTCCATTGCAAATGATGGAAAATCTTAGGCAATGTGCGGAATGATTACCTTCCCTGAAGACATTTTAGGCAGATATTTCTGCAGTTTTTTGTTCTTTCCATAGCGGTTTTTTTTGTTCAGAATGTTATTGTCCCATATTTGTTCTGTTTTTCATAGCATTGTTTCATTCTATCTGTAGCAGTTAAAGACATGTTTTTTCTAGAAAAATCAGCAGGTTATTGCCGGAGTTTTTCCCTAAAAAAGCTGCAGGTTATGGTCTGAAAATCACTCAAGCTTTTATGGCTAACAAGTAAGAGAGTATAAATGTACAATATCATTCAAAAGATAATTATTCTGTATCACCTAGTGCTACACTCAGAATGTTTAGGTTTTTAAGCATTTTGTAAAGGTGTCTTTTAACAATACACAAAATATTTGGGGAGTGGAACTCTAATGAAGAAAATATAGAAATTATTGAGCTAAAGAAAATAGGAAACTGAAAAAGATGAGGACTTGCTGAGAGATGGATCTGGAGCTTGAGTTCTAACCTTATCTATGAAATGTTATTCAATAGAAAGTTATTCCTTAATTTATAAACAACTTGGTGTGTTAACATTTCCTTAATGATGCATGCTTTTTCCTCATCTTTGTTACTTTCAGGATTATAGTTATGTCCTTGTCCCTAGTTTGGTGGGAAGACTATGGAGAGAAAGGAAGAGGTAGTAAATGGAGGAGCAATGGGCTCTTCAATTGTGCTATGACACAATCGGCATGTGAGATAATCCGTGTAAACCATTTATTGAGAGAAATTAGATTGAATACACCAATGTACTATGGTGTGATAACCAAGCTGCCATACACATTGCCAATAATCAAGTGTTTCATGAGAGAACAAAACATATTGAGGTCGATTGTCACTTTGTTCGAGAGAAGATACAAAAAGGATTGATCTTTACAGGATATGTGAAGACTGGAGAGCAACTTGGAGATTTGTTCACTAAAGCACTTAATGGAATTCGTGTTGGTTATTTATGTAACAAGTTGTGCATGATAAATGTCTATGCTCCAACTTGACGGTGAGTGTGAAAGATATGCTTTGGAATATTCTTCTATCTTTACAATATGCTTTAGAATATTTTAGGAATATACTCTAGAATATTATTATTGTATAGAATCTTATAGAAATATTCTATATTTGTAATGTATATATAGGGACTTAACCCTCCAATGAAATATACAGAAAATCCTTTCTTCTCCAATATTATTTATGTGTATATGCTCTATTTCAACATTAAGCAATCATCATAAGCAACAAAACAAACTTACAAAAGGGACCAAGGGATGCGATCTGCGGCAGGAGAACTGCATCCTTGGCGACTATTTTCACTGGCTTGAATGAACCGGGTTGAATGGTGTAGAACTGGAAGGCAGACTCGATTAAAGGGCCATCTGGTTTAGTTGGGCGAAGTTTACTAAAGGGTAGATAACTTCTGTTAACGGCGATAATCCCATACCAAGCTACTAAGGTAGAGATAAAATTACTTAAAGCACAGATTACACCTGCACTAAGCTATAATATTACACCAACAAGTTTTTTATATCCAAAATAACATTATCCTCATTCATGTTCATAATTTTGTAAAGATGATTACCTAATCTTTATAGTTAATAACATAATATAGAGTGCATTTGAACAAAAGTAGTGAACAAGGGTTTGTTGGGGACTGAGGAGCTTCAAGAATCAGGCCTTCTCTCTATTTCGATTTTAAGGGATGGAAGCCTTAAACTGTAAACAAGGAGTTTAAGGCCATATGCCCATATCAGGTCATCTTCTGTTTTGTTTGGCTAGAGTAAACTGGGGGATGGTCAATGGCTAGGAAGCTACACAAAATGGAAGCCTTAAACTGGAGTGGTGGGTGGATGTAAAGCTGGGCTTTGCTGTTGTTTTTTCGCTGGAATAATGGAGTGAGGGCTTCCAGAAGCTGGGCTTTGGGGAATGATGCTCTTTGGTGACTTTGCTAGCCCATGAGCCTTTACTGGTTCGACGGCTAGCGTCTTACGAGAGGCTTTTGACTCGTTAATGAGCTGACCCTTCATGGGCTAGTCCATCTTGGTGACTTAACGTTTTGTGATATGAGTCGGGGCCTGTCCCGTGCCGTTTTGACTTCTGAAAAATTCTATCTTCCCTTCCCCCCACCACGAGGTTGGGGGGTGTGGATCGTTGTGCTTACCGCTACACTAAAAGCAATCGCTGATAGTGAAGCACGCTCCTCCCCCTTTATAGCACAAGCGAAGCGCCACGCGGTCCGATTGCACCGACAGGCTGGCTGTTGCTGGCACCGCATACCCGCGGCCCAACAATCTCCCCCCCAGCACCTGCCAGCCTACAACTGCGCAGCATGCTGTTGTCGGGGGTCGAACCCGTGACCTTGGCTCTGATACCACTTGTGGATCGTTGCGCTTACCGCTACACTAAAAGCAATCGCTGATAGTGAAGCACGCTCCTCCCCCTTTATAGCACAAGCGAAGCGCCACGCGGTCCGATTGCACCGGCAGGCTGGCTGTTGCTGGCACCGCATACCCGCGGCCCAACAGGGGGTTAAGATAAATATTATTTTAGGTTTTCATGCTTTCTTAGACAGTTCTTTCGATTTTTTGATGCATCGTATATGTTATTTTCTGGATATATATATATATATATAGGGAATAGATCTAATGAGAAGCTTCTTTGAGCTGAAAAATGAGAAGTAATAGGAGTCGACAGATTAGATCAAATCTTACGGCTCTCCTTCTCTCCTAATTAAATAATTCCGTATACGTATTTTCATTCATTCACGTAGACTTTCTCTCCATTCTCGTCTCATCACCTGCTCTCTATTCCCTTCTCTTTCTCTCCGATGAAAAAAGATGAAGATTGGCCAATCGCCGGAAGCTTCTACGAAGATCAAGGCGTCGTTTTAAAGGAGGTGACACGAAGTTCTTAGGAAACCTCCAATTTCTCTCTACAACCGCTCACGCGACAGAGTATCTCTAGATTGTAATCGCTTCTATGAAGTTCAACCATCCAACAACGAAGATCGCAACACCTCCGACAAATTGCAACAATACAACGACGAACATGGGCCAAATCAGGAAGACCAGCGACACTAGGTTATTTCTCGATTTTAGAATGAGGTATATCTCTGAGTATCTCTACTCGATCTTACAATTTTCAACCTAATTTAATCAATTAGTTTATTTAAATCAGAATCAAGAGTGAGTCTCCTACTGTCCTCATTAAGTCTCTTGATTATATAATTACGATTGTTTTAGAGAGAACACAAGAAGTGGAAGATTATGTGCCTGTTTATAAGAATATGATAGAAAACCATGTTGTCATGTACTCCTTTTGAGTATGTGGTTTTGTAGGTGTTTTTGTACATATGAACCCCATGAAGTCTTGTTTGATTTATAGATAATGCTTTTAAGTTGCACCCACCATCTGTTTGTTGAAATATCTCAATGTAAAATTATGTCAATGTTCTTCTTTTTCAAGTGTAGAACTTTACTTTGATAATATAAATCTATGCTGATATATATAGTAAGTATCAATTGCTACGAATGAAGTCCAGCACCATTCGTAATCAGCACACCAAGACCAAAGCTAGCAAAGAAACTATATGTTTTGTAAGTTTCCAGTTAGGACAAGTGGCTTTATGGAGTTACAAACCAAAGTAAAGACCTTATGAACCTATACACAATGATGGCAACACATGAATTGTTGAAACCATGATAAAGTCTTGTGACACCATCAGAAGCAAGTGTCTTCTCGTAGACATCAATAGGGGCAGCTGCACTCTTGAAAACTGCAACACAAACTCCACCCATGACAAAGTCACTAGCAAAGCCAGTAAAAGTTGTTTATTTTGATTGAAAAATTGTTTTTATTTATTTAAAAGTTATAGTAATTCTTATTTACGTTTTTATAAAGAAAAGTGCGTATAAGATCTAAAGTTTTAGAGGTTTTAGCATTTTTAGTAAAAGTTATACTTCTTAGTGTAAAAGTTATGCGTTTTGAATTACAAGTTATATTCATGGTTTTAGAGATCTTGGAAGTTTAAACAAAAGTCAAGTCTTTAGGTTTAAAAGTTACATTTTTTTTACAAGTTGTAGTAATTTGGATAAAAGTAATGTTTTTTAAAAATACTCTAAACAGAATTGTAGATTGTAAACACTTACCATAACATAATTATTTACTTTATTACTTTTTTTGGAATAACAAGAAGAAATTATTTACTTTATTGGTGACATTGAGAGAGGATGAGTTGTTGCATTTGGTATTTTAGACTACTTTATATATTATTAATAATTATTGGTAAGGATTAACAGTTACGAGTGAGAGTGCATCTACTTGTGTTAAAAGTTACAAATATTTTATTAAAAGTTATGAATATTCTATTAAAGGTTATGCTTTTTATTTCAAAATTTCTTTTAAACCACACTGTTTTGATTGTCCTCATTTCAGTTTTCATTTCAGTTTTCACTCTAAAGTAGATTCAATGTTTTGAAATATCTGAATATATGATAGCTAGTGAGTACTTGCTTGTAGGAACAACACAACTCCTATCCTCAAAACATAACTTCTAATAGAAATACATCTTCATAATAAAAGTTACTTATTTTAGCATAAGCTATATAAAATTATTGATTTCGATATTTTCAGCTAATGCTAATTAAAAGTTATGTATCTAGTTTTAGTAGTTATTATTTTGGATCTATTAGTTATAAACATATATGTATCCATTTTATCTTTATTGCAGAAGATCAAAGAAAACATTGAAGCCCTAAATGAAGATGACATTGATGCTAACAATGAAGTTATTCTAGAATTTGAACGGCAATGATGTACACAAGTTATAACTAAACACTAAAAATAAGCAATTGACAAGGACAACACCACTCTGTTGAGAAGCAAAATTTTTGTTAACTGATTATAGAGTTGAATTTAATGCCCTTAAGTTTTACGTAGTATTAAACAGAGCTATAACTAAAATGACTAATAGAATAAAATGGTCAACTTTTAAACATAATGTGATAACTTTTTAAAATAGGAAGTTACATGCTTTCTTACAGCCTATTAGCTTAACTGGAAGAGCATCATGTGACTACACGAAAGATGTGAGTTCGAATCCCACATAGGCTAGCTATCACAACAAGGTGGATTGAGGATTATTTTATTTATTTCACAATCTTTAATTTCATGTAGATGAATGCTCCATTTATTTTAAGTATAGAATCTAATAGATCATGTATATGCCTAAATTATAGTTGTGTCATTTTAAGTTGGGTATAAGAGAAAGACATTAATGCAGTTGATCTTAGTTGAATAATTGGTATCATACCTTAGTTCTTGCGTAGTTCTTGTTGGGTGTGTTTCGGAAAATAAAGAAAATTAATTAAAATAAATTAATTAAATAAAATGACTAGAGAAAAACAAGAAAGGAGATGAAGCAGAATTAGTCAAAGCTCGTGCTACGCACGATTTCCTTAAAACGTATTTGTTGCCTCCCACGGTGCTAGGAGCGTTGCAACAATCGTTTCCCAGGATACGATGACTACGAACTAATGTTTGAGCACACAAACAAGAGTTCCAGCGAACGAGAACCAAGTAAGAACACAGAAGGAATTTTCAGAGTAGCTGTAGGTCTTTTTAGCTCAAGAATACGTGAGGAATGTATTGTGCGTTGTGTTGTTGCAAACCACCTGCCAGCTATTTATAGGAGGATTTGTTGTGTGTAAAATGGGGTGTTAATGGACCTGAACGTTGGACATCAATGACCAGTCCGTTGGGCATTGAATCGTCCATAAACTGTCCATTTAACGCAACATTAAAAGAGAAGAACGTTGGGCATTAATTGTTGTAACGGACCAGAAGACCTTCTGTTGCGAACAGAAGGCCTCGAGGGTCTCTGTTGCGAACAGAAGACCTCGAGCGTCTCTGTTGCGAACAGAAGGCCTCCAGGGTCTCTGTTGCGAACAGAAGACCTCGAGCGTCTCTGTTGCGAACAGAAGACCTCTAGGGTCTCTGTTGCGAACAGAAGACCTCGAGCGTCTATGTTGCGAACAGAAGACCTCGAGCGTCTCTGTTGCGAACAGAAGACCTCGAGGGTCTCTGTTGCGAACAGAAGACCTCGAGGGTTTCTGTTCCGGACAGAACTCGAGCATCTATGTTCCGGACAGAACTCCACCCCTTCTGTCACTGGGAAAAATAAAACGTTACGGGAAGAAACAAAAATTAGACCGTATCTTTGAATGATAGGTTTTCGGACGACATTCTTCTCCAAAGGCTAACTTGGAGATAAAGAGGGCTGATGGTAATGGGGCCATTATTTCCGAACAAGTGTTCGAGAAGACGAAAACAAAGTTCACTCTTTATTGATCAAAAGGGGCAGTCCCCAGCCCATCTTCCGAGAAAAAAATCTTATCTTCCCTTGACATTATAATGATACTAAATATCCAAAGTTTACACATTTGAAAAAGAATCAGGATAGTGAAATTTAATGTGCATTTGAATTGAATATATACATTTGTTGAGTACAATACAATAAAGTGTGGAGGTTTTCTTTAAAAATAAAAAATAAAATAAAATAAAATATGAGGTTGTTAACTCAATTAATTCACAATTGAACCAATTTACTTTAAATACAAATTGACTGATAACTTATAATCTAGTTAAACTTCAAAGCAACAAATAGTTTAAATCAAAAGTATTAAAATTGGCTAGAGTTAAATTTAACAACATTCAACTCGTATGTTCATATAGTTCTAAATTGACTACGAGTATACTCTTAAATGTGGTTTACTTATATTTTTACAATGAAACATTATAACAAACAGTTGGTAGGCATAATGTAAATTCACCAACTTTACAAATGACTATATCATTTAAAATGATCTCAAAACAGAATGGGCTATAGGTTTAACTTGTTTCTCAATTCGAAGGAAAAAAAAAATAACAAAAAAGCCCTCCCACCGTCGATCTGTGTAGCTAGAGTTCCTCGATGATTATTCATGTTGTCTGTCGTAGTCGATGAAAGTTCAGCTTGAGCATCTACACATCTTGCCTAGAGATGACTACAATCACCACGATGTTTAAAAGAATGAGGCGAAAAAATCATACTCTGGTTGGAGTTGTAAACAGACCTTGGAACTGTAATAGCTTGAATAATTGTTGGAACATAGAAGGAGACTAATCTATGGTGGAGAGACGGAGAATCCATGGCTGAGAGCATGAAGGGAAAAACAGAGTTAGTCACCGCCAGAATCTAATCGAAAAAGAATAAAAGGAACACGGAGTTTTACGGAAGGATGGCTAAGGTATGCGTAAACATAAGATAAGAGAAGGTTTAAAGTTTCTTTTAATTTAAAAAATGTCATTAATGAATAACGGAACACTGAACGAATCAGGTGGTGCAGATGGACCTGGGTGCGGACATCGAATGGTGTATATTTCTTCTCATTTTTCAGTCTAAGAGGTAGTTCTCATGAGATCTTCTCTCTCTCTCTCTCTCTCTCTATATATATATATATATATATATATATATATATATATATATATATATATATAGTCATTCTCCTGTCCAACACTTTTCTGTCCGAACACCGCCGTTTGGGGCGGTTCCCGGCGGAATTTTTTGATGAAATTTTTTGAGCATGTTCCTCATCAAGTCTAGTTTATCCATACCAAATTTCAGCTCACAATTTGATAAGGAAGGCAGTCAAATAATTCGTTGAAGTTAACTGCACCAAATTATACATAGAAAAATGAAGTTAACTTCAACGAATTATTTGACTGCCTTCCCGATCGAAATTTGAGCTGACATTTGGTATGCATAAACTAGACTTGATGAGTAACATGCTCAAAAAATTTCATCAACAAATTCTATCAGGAACCGCCTCAAACGGCGTTCGGACCGGGAGGTGCTGAACCTGAGAATTTTCCTATATATATATATATATATATATATATATATATATATAGGGGATGGTTCAAATAAAAAGAGGTCTTAACGTGCAAAGTGAAAAGTTTACACTTTTTCTTGTTTCGCTTGCACTTTTTCTTGCTTTCGTTGCACTTTTTCGCGATAGCTCAAAAAAATTGGTTTATTTACAAAACTGCCACCGTCATTTTGGCCGAATTTGGCCAAAATCAAAATGGCCAAAAAGTGCAACGCAAACAACAAAAAGTGCAAGCGAAACATGAAAAAGTGAAAACTTTGCACTTTGCACGGGAAGACCACTTTTCATTTGAACTCTTCCCTACACACACACACACACACACACAAATATATATATATATATATATATATATATATATATATATATATATATATATATATATATATATATATATAGGGTGCGGTTCCGGTGAGAACACTCCTTAACGTGAGAAATGAGAACACTCCAAAACGATGCACTTTATCCTTCACAAAACTGCACATTTATGGTTAAAGTAATACAAAATTCTAATGTGCACATTTACGTTTAAAATTTTGCACAGACGAAATGCACATTTTCCAATTTTTTATATGCACGTTTCTGTTTTACATGATGCACAATGCTCAAATCCAACGCTCCAGAATCATTCTCATTTCTCTTCTAAGATGGTATTCTCATTTGATCCTTACCCTATATATATATATATATTTACATTTTATCCAAAAAAAGTATTGTACTATTTGACCAATTAGAAGATGACACCTCAACTTTTCATAACTCAACTTTACTATATTAAGAGCCCGTTTAGTAACACTCAAATTGGCTAAATTGACTGATTTTGTTGAAATTTATGAAGTTTTGGCTGAAGTGCCTGTATTGACTGATTTACTGATTTATGAGAAAAATTATATTTAAAATATTTGTTATTAATAAGTCAAATAAAAATTATATGGAAAAATAGCTAAAATGATCATCTACAGTAACTTCAGCCAATACTGTCAGAAATGTAACTCTAACCTTTCATTCTTTTATTATTACACAATTCAGCGCGCAAAAGCAAAATTTACGTGTTTGGTGAAAAAACTGATTGATAAACCTGATAAGCTGAAAAAAGAGGTCACCAAACGGGCTCTAAACAATAGACGTGTGTGTTGTATGCAAACTATTACATTTTTATTACAAAAATTATAAATATATGATTTGGAAATAAAGTTCAAGAATTAATTTCATTTAGTTTATATTTTCTCTTTATTTTGCATTTACCGAAAAATATAAACATTTCATATTTATATTTTATATTTTCAACTTGTATTTTTATTATATTTTTCTTTTCTATTTTTATTATTTATTTCTCTTTTTCATAATTTTGATATTTTTAAGGGTTGAGAGGTCAATTGAACGATTCAGTCGGGTTCAGGAGCTTATTCGACCCTTGAATTGTCACGTCACATGCACAATTGACACCCTATTGGGTGACATAATAATGATCGAATTCTAAGTTCTAACCAAGAAAAAGAGAATTTCGAATCTTTTTTTCCGAGTTTAGGATGCCAATTAAATTTTTTTTAAGCTCAATGGGCAATTTGAGTCACCCGGAAGGATATATGGCCAATTTGACCCTTTACCATTAAAATATAGTAAAATGTTGATTAGTGTTTTTTTTTCATTTTTTGTCTCCTGACTATTTTGTCAGTTACATTTTTGGTACCTGATTTATTATTTTTTCATTTTTACTTCTCGACTATTGTGCTAGAGAGACGTTTAGTCATCGACTTTAGAATTTCCCATATCAATCCCTTGAGTATTATAAAATTGACACTTTTAGTCCTTGCACTATGATTTTGGCACAATAAGTGAATGACTAAAAATGTCACTAATATAATAGAGAGTAGTTTTTTTATCATCACTAATATAATACTCCGTAGTTGAAAGACTAAAAGTGTCACCACAATGAAAGTTGAATGACTAAATAGGAAAAAATTTTCAAAGACGGATACCAAAATTGTCGTTAATACAACAGTAGAGAACTAAAAGTGAAAAAAGTCAAAATCGAGTACCAGCCCAAATTTAAAAACACTAGACCAGACTAGACTTAAACATACCAGTTCAGATCAAACCAGACTTTCATAGCTATAAAATACACAACATTTACCAAACTAGACCAAATAAATTCACACTAGAATAAACTAGAGTTAAACATAAAAAGAATTTCCTAAATAAGAGTAAAAAAATTTTGAAATTTCTGCCAAGTTCAACATTAGTAGACTTTAAACGTACCCCCCGTCCCTGAATAAAAACATCTGTTTCCTTTTCGGGCCGTCCCTAAATAAAAGTTCCCTTTCCTTTTTTGGCAAACAAAACAGTGCAAAACAGTGTCCAAACAGTACAAACCAAACCCACTTTAATGTGTGGAAAACGAATAGATACTTTTATATAGGGACGGAGGGAGTAGTATTTTTTTTAAAACTTTAACAAATTATTCCTATTTTGGGAATAAAAAATACTCTTATTTTTTTTTATTTTGGCTTGAGCATGTGTTCCTCTCCTCCCAACAAGCAACCGGCAAACACACCCAGCCGGAGGTTTCCAGATTTTTGGAGGTTGCAGGGTTGAAGCTATCTCACCGAGGGAAAGGGCTAAAAGAAAAGTTTTTTATTTTCTCGTCAAAGGAAATGGACGCCACCGAAGCTTCTTTGTCCACTTCTCCATCAAAATCCAGTTTCAGGCACTGCGAATTCCAAAGCTATTTAATCGCACTTACTGATCTCCCTTTTTAGGGAATCCAATTATATTACGTAATATATTTAAATGAATTCATTATTATTATTATATTGTCACGCAGCCAACAGCGCCATTTCTATCTTGCTATTGAGAGGATCAAATTCAAGATGGTCTTTCTCTCCCACGCCTTTCTTTCTCTAGGAGCTTTTGTAATTAATATGATTTCAAGATTTATTTGTTTGGATTTTTGTTGATGAATACTTGAATAGGATACAGTGGTGGATCTATTGGGCATGGCCGGCCGCCTTCCAAGTCTGCCGGTGGTGGTTTGCTGCAGCACCAGGGACGAGCTAGATGCTGTTTTCTCCGCCCTATCCACCCTTTCACACATTACTGTCTTCGCACTGGTATATGTCTCTATACAAATCTTTTCGTACAACTTTATTGTTTTAAGTACCTTGTGCCACAGTGCATTTGGTTGAATCTGCTAAGAAGACTCAGAAGTTGGAGAGTTTGATTGTGAGGGAAAGTTCAACTATAAAGCCATGTACTGTATAAAAAACTATGAGTTAGTGTTACAAAGGCAAAGATTGGTGTTTTTGGCTTTTAAGCTAAACCACTTTTACTCCGTGGGTATGATGTGTTCTAGGGAGGGGAGGACAGGGTGGGGATGGGAGGGGGAGTGTTTTTGTGTTACCTATCTGCTTTAGATGGAGGAGAGAGAAGACATTCCCAGTTTCCTACCGACCTCATCTCAAGAAATTCCCAAACTAGGGGGATTAGTTTGATAACTCTACTTTTGATTCATCATGTTTGTAGTTTATTCGTCACAAGTTATGCACTTTTTTGGTGGTAGGAAGTTGTGTTTAGTTATGGAAATGCCACCACATCTTCTTGGATTATCTTTTTTTCCTTATTCCGACCCCTTAGATGTTGAGTCCAATACCTCATATTTATTCTCAATTCTCACATACTAGAATGAGAGTAACAGAGAAAGGTGTTAATTTGATAAGCCAATATGCATTGATGTTGAATTGGTTGTATTAAGTTGGGAACGATGGCTTGTTTTTACATTCTTTGAGCTTTTGAGTAGTTATGACGTAGATTAATTTATGCAGTACAGTGACCTTGCTGAAGCAGAAAGGGCACACACATTTGCTAAATTCCGGCAGGCCATGCTGAGGTGGAATCGTCATACCGTGGTTGATGAAGGGGGAGGAAAGGAGGAAGAGAAATGTCACCTGATAGTTGTGACTGATGCTTGCCTTCCTCTTGTGAACTCCGGAGAGTTTCCTTTTAATGCACGTCTCTTGATTAATAATGAGTTACCAACAAAAAAGGTAAGGGAAACATTGATAGCTGAGGTAGTTTCTTGACAGATTTTGTGTCTTAACCTATTTCCCCTTTGAAGTTTGAAGGGGAGTGGCCTCTTGTCAAAATGACAAGGGAAAGCCTTCCCCTTATACACCCTTGCGGGACACCAATGTGCACCAGGCTGCCCCTTTTTAACCTATGTCCTCTTTCATGTTAGTGAATTCTCCAATAGCCTTGAGTTTTGTTGGTAAGTTGCATTTCATAGCGTTTAAAAGACTTCTAGCAGACTAGCACTCTACCACATGGTATTTCATCACTCTTATCAGTTTTTAATTTTTATTTTTTGAAATTAAAATTAATTTTAGTGAAAAACAAAAAGAAACACATACTGACATACTGAAAAAAGTCGTTTTTTGCAGGAAACATATATGCGGCGCATGGCTACTTGTTTGGCAGCAGGTTCTGTACTTCTGTATAACCCCCCCATTCATTTCTTCCTAGTTAGGTTTCTAAAGGCAGTATTGGCTATAGTTGTTTGGGTACATATGCTTTATTCTGTTGTCATTTGTATTTGGTGAAATTATACAGATGGAATTGTGATCAATATGGTGGCCGGAGGTGAGGTTGTAAATCTCAGAAACATTGAAGAAAGCAGTGGGTTTGTAATAGGAGAAATGCCCATAAATGTGAGTTCTTGCAATACCTTTTGGGTACACTCATCGTCATCGTCATTACCCCAGTGAAAGGCTCCCTTCTAACGTGGGGTAAAGGGGGTCGGATGTATGAAGTCTTACACTCTTACCCCTATACTAAAGCACATAAAGTGATAGAGACTTAAATAGTACTCCCTCCGTCCCACTTTAAGGTTCCCACGCGATGTTTGACTGACCATAAAGTTAACTGATCCCTGTCATTAATATAATTATTTTTAGTAAATAAAATTTACATATTCAGAAACTACATTAAACCGCTACAAAACCTGCAAAAAATAATTTAAATTTTATAAACTTTTGATATATAAAGTAAACGATTAAGAACAATGCACGTTGTAATAGTGTACATAGTAATAGTGTACGAGAACCTTTAAATGAGACGGAGAGAGTACTAGTAATAAGAATAATATTGGTCTTTTAATATTGTAGAATAAAAATGGTTTAGGCCCTGAATTAAATAGCATTGGGCTAGCCCAACTGGAAAAGAATAAATATGAGAGCATCTCCAATGCTATAATGTGCACGGTGCACATGTGTCATGAGAGATAGCCACATAAATAATAACAAATAAATTATCTCTCTCCTTATTTGAATGATTATGTACAATTTTGGTAAATTTTTCTCCGCAATGTCAACATCCAGACGGTCTTCTTGACATTATGGAGAAAAACTTACCAAAATCGCATAAAATCATTTAAATAAGGTGAGAGAATTTATTTGTTAATATTTATGTGGCTATTTCTCATGCCGCATGTGCACCGTGCACATTGTAGCATTGAAGATGCTCTGAGTTGGCGGAATAAAATAGAGGTAGGCAGAACTTTGAATGTGGACTTAGACTTGGGAGTGTTGAGACTTGAGACTACTCGAAGTGTCTATGTCTGTTCTTCTTTCTCTTTCTTCTGTACTGTGCTAACTTCTTAGATTGATCTGTAATTCCCGAAGGAATCTGAGAATTTCCTCAGCATTCCAGTGGCTAATATACAAAAGTAATCTGCTAAATTTGGTGCCTCTAACATTGGTATCAGAGCAGTCGACCCTGAGAAGCTTCGATCGACATTCATGCAACAAAAACTGGAGCAGCGCAGGGAACATCGACGGTCAGAACAGAAAGTGACCGCCTCTGGTTTTCGCGCAAACATGGAGAATAATCAGGAAAAGGTTGAATAAAATCAGCAATCCTCCGCTGATTGGGCGGAGGAGATGTGGAGTCGAATAAAGGAGATCCGTGAACTTCGTCTCAGGCGACATAGAGACCGAGCGAGGAGCCCTCCTAGACGCCGTAGGCGAACTGAAAACCAGGAATCATCGTTCGTCGCTCTTCCCCATTCGCAATCGCGAATGGCTTCTTCCAGTTCGCAGTCGCGAACTTCATCATCCGCCAGCAATTCACGACCAAGTTCGATGCGATCGAGAGGAGAAGCTTCCCGTTCGCAGATGTCATCGCAAACCGCTTCAGCTTCGTTGCGAACAATAGCTTCCAGTTTTCAGGTGTCGCTTCAGTCGCTTACATCTTCTCACGCGTCTCAAAGTTCGTCTCTATCATTTTCACTCAGTTCGCAGGCATCGTTGCTAAGTGCGCAGGTTTTGTCTCAGTCACAAGCAACTTCTACAAGTTCACCAGCTTTGCCACGAGCAGATATCTCCAGTTCACAGTTTATGTCACGAGCTGCTACTCACCGTTCGCAGAGTCCAACCACCCCTCAGGATTCGGATAATTAGTTGCAACCTGAAGGTATTATTTCTTCACGCGCCAGAGAAATGGTAGAAGAAGAGAGAGTGCAGTTAGGCCCTAACAGTGCTGAGGATGTTCAGAGGGCCGCCAATCTAGGGCAAAATTCCGCTAGAGAAGCTAATAATTCTTCTCTGAAGACTAATGGAGAACAGGCAGAGTGTTTTGAGCCGGAAGTTCTTCGGACTTTTATCCCTGGAGTTTGTTCTGTGGCTAGAAGAGCTATTGGCTCTATTATAAAGGAAAGGGTGATAGGAATGAGCCTATTATTAGAGATAATAATAAGTGGGCCAATTATTAGAGATAATAATAAGTGGGCTTGTACTATAAATAGAAAGAGAGGGTAGGCAAAGGAGGCAGGCAAGTATTCTGTTGGAATAGGCTTGGAGACTGGGCATCTCGAATTGTCTTGAACTTTGTATACGTTCGATATTTTCTTCTTCAATAAATCTCATATTGATCTTATTCCCTGTTAATCTCTCTTTGAATCTATCAATGGTATCAGAGCAAATCGCTCCTGGAGTCTTATTTGATCGTCGCGTCTTTATCACAGAAGAGGAAAAGTAGTTATTCGCGAAGCTGAGATACGAACGAACGAAGATGATCGCTGAGCAGAGCAGAGAACCACGACGGTCAGAACGGGATGCCTTTGGTTCGAAACGAGAGATGCGATCAAACCGGGAGAAGCTTTTGAACAGGGAGAGGAAATCCGCGATGGAGAACATCGTTGCACTCGTCTCAACATCGGCGAACAAAGGAATCGCTGCACCTAGCTGCGTCGGAAGGCAATTCCTATTACTTTCACTCCAGACTCTCTAGTTTGGGTCGCGATAGCAGTAGAAGAACTGTTCTGAAGGGAAGAAAGGTAGATTTACCTTTGTTTAACGGTGAAGGAGCCTATAACTGGATTATACAAATGGAGAGGTATTTTCGGTTAAATGACATTGAAGAGGAAGAGAAGGTTGAAGCTTCTAGGGTTGCTATGGAAGATAGGCATTTGAATTGGTTTCAATTGTGGGAGTACCAGACTGAAGAAACTAATTGGGACACTCTGAAGAAATCTATCATTCGTAGATTTCAACCTGAGTTGATTTCTTCTCACAGTTTGAAATCACGAACTTCATCATCCACCAGCAGTTCACGACCAAGTAAGACTCTATCGAGAGAAGCTTCCCGTTCGCAGATGTCATCACAAACTGTTTCAGCTATGTCGCGAGCAATAGCTTCCAGTTCTCAGGTGTCATCTCAGTCACAAGCACCTTCTACAAGTTCGCCAACTTTGCCACGAGCAGATATCCCCAGTTCGCAGGTTATGTCGCAAATCACTTCTCACTGTGCGCAGGTATCAACAGTCCTGCAGGAGTCTGTGAGGGAGCAGCAACCATCCTCTGATGATAGGAGTGCTTCTTTTGTCAGAGAAAATGCAGAGAAGTGCACTAAGGGCGACGATGAAAGCGAGGAAAAAGCATCAGATGCCGCTGAACCTAAAGGTGAACCCCATGCCATATTTTCAGGAGGACCTTCAGGTGATTGCACTTTTTCTGAAAGAAATAGAGCTTTATTATCAATTGATGTTGATTCTGCCAGTAGAACTCCAAATCTAGTAATGAATGCATTTGAGATGAGAAGATTGTTTGGGGTAGCAAATGTCGTTGCACTTATTGAACAGGTTTCCTTTGAAGATAAACTCACTGCATCTAGTGGGCTTGACATTATGCATAAACTTACTACAACTTGCGGGAATGTTACTGAAATTGGTGTGGCTGCTGGGATTCACATGATTTCTAGTTATCAAGTAGATGCTCTACTTGCAGCAGTAAGGTTTCAAGTCGAGATGGGGAAGGGAGAGCAATTATCTTTGCAGAGCAGTTGTGAGGTACTACAGACTTGGGTACGAAATTCAGTGATGACTGAGGATTTCTATTTGTTAGACTTTGGAAAGATAAATGTGATTCTGGGAACAGGACCGCTAGCCAATCAGAGAAAGGCAGAGAAAAATTTCAGGAAACACAGAATAAAGTGGTTGGGAGATGGGCCAGAGATGCAGTTGCTGGAAGATTTTAAATTCGGCAACATTGTGGAGCAGGATGCAACAAAGTCCTTGCCTCTGCTCTTTGTTGCTATGCTCTTTCTGGCTATGAAAGGAGTGATGGTGAAGGTTCAAATCAGGAAGCTATGAGTTCAGAAATTCGTGATGTATTGGGAAGGGAGAGGCGCAAGGATGAAGCTGAAGCTGAAGATCAAGGCTGTTTCATATCACCCACCTTGAGGACAAGGTGGTTGTTTAGGGGGGTACGGGGTAGTAGTGATAGGAATGGGCCTATTATTAGAGATAATAATAAGTGGGCCTATTATTAGAGATAATAATAAGTGGGCTTGTACTATAAATAGAAAGGGAGGGCAAGCAAAGGAGGCAGGCAAGTATTCTGTTGGAATAGGCTTGGAGATTGGGCATCTCGAATAGTCCTGAACTTCGTATACATTTGATATTTTCTTCTTCTTCAATAAATCTCATATTGATCTTATTCCCTGTTAATCTCTCTTTGAATCTACTGTAATTGGAGTCGGATATACCAGTGATCTATCAAAGGGGAGAAGAAAACTTCATAGACTTGGTGCCTTGGCTGTTAAAGAATCTGACATCGGATGGCAGCACTGTTGTGCACAATTTCTGTTGGCTGTTGAAGTTTTATTAGACCAACCCTGCTATCACAAATAATTCTATAATTCACATGTTACCGTGGATCTGTAATGATTTGGGACAAATGAAAAACTGGAATTGGTGCATTCTCACTTGCAACTGTTTCTCTGAAGCCAGGGCAAGCTGCTCCTGGAGTTCCTAATGGTGAAGTTTCTAAGGAGTTGATTGCCAGTATGCCACTATTAGAATTGCATACTGATGAAGAAACGAAAGCAGTAGTTGCTGCTGGTTATGAAACCGTTGCATCTATCCTGGCTTTTGACCCTATTCAACTGCTCTTAGCTATTGGGACCACAGATGGAAGGCTGAAAGTCGTTGGAGGGAACAATATCAAAAGCCTTATGGTCTGGGAGCTGGAGAACAAACACTTGTCTTCCATATTAAAAGGGTGTCAAACATACCCACATTCTTTACTATCTATGGCATTCATTACACGTTTATGGAGACGAACAATGATGATATTCAACCCACGGGATGCCCACCAGATAATCCGGAAGGGGCACTAAATGTTGAGGCCGATGCCAGCTCACGTTCAAAGCC